GGGGGGGGAACGTTTTTTTTCCTGAATTTTTCTGGGTTTTTTCCGGGCTTTCACATCTCTAGACGCACCCAGGGATACCTTTAAAATCTTTTCTTACAAAGAGTTTTCCGAATATGACAAAGGCAAAAGTAAAGAGACCCACACGTAAACACAAAAGCTGAACTAAGAGCCAAACTAGATGTCACCTTTGACGCAAGTGGCAGGCAGCACGTGTGCCCCACCCCAGAGAGAAAAACAGCGCCCCACACGTACACCCCAGGGCCATTCTGGCTTGGAGGAAATGGTGCAGAAATGGGGGGCTGAATCCCCCCCCCCCCGCACCACATTCCCAATCCGAATTGGCCCCTGGTGCAGCTGGGAATGCCAGTGCCCTGATGCCACGGCTCTCTGTAAAGGGAAAACACAGTTGGCCGGGGGGGCGGGGGGGTCACGTCAGAGGCGCTATCTTGTTTGGCCTGAAGACGGAGCTTCTCACAGAGGAAGGAAGGTGGGCAGAAAGACCGATAAGCAGTCTGAGTGCTGAAGTCTTGCTAAGTAAATCATAGCGTGAAATGCAACACAAAGCACTGAGTCATCACCTAAATGAGAAGGAAGAACTGAAGCCGGTGACTTTTCCTGCCAATCTGTCAGCTAATCACGGCTCAGAGCTGCCAGGCAGAGAAAAGGGCCCGTTCCCCCCCCCGCCGCCCCCCCCGGGTGGGGGGGCTTTGCATTTTCATCTCCTTCAGCATGCGGGCTCTGCTTCACCCATGCGGGGACACATTCCTGGCACGACACAGACACATTAGACGCAGCCTAGGACAAGGAGGGGCTTTGGGAGCAAACCTTTTTCTTGGTGAGCGTCAGGTGGTACCCGCTGCCAAAGGTCTCCTTGAGGAAGAAGGGGGACCCGCAGCACTTGAGCCCGCCGTTTTCCAGGAAGGCGATCCTGTCACTCAAGACCTCGGCCTCGTCCAGGTGATGGGTCGAGAGGATGATCGTTCTCCCTGCAGGGGGGGGGGGGGGGGGGGGGACGGGGATGAAAAATTGGCAAGCGGGATGGTCACATCTCCCTCGTGGCAGAGGAGTCACGCCACAGAACAGGGCCTGGCGGAGACGGGGGGGCCCTGGCTAAAGGGGGCCGGCTCCTGGGTTTGCGCACGGAGGGCTCTTTGGGGACAGGCCCCCCCCACTAGCCCCATCCAGGCCGCAGCCGGCAGCCTCCAGCAAGAGGCCCTTGGATACGCCGGGCTTTAAGAAGCAGAGGGAAGGAGGAGAGCGAGAGGCTGTGAGGGCCATTAGGGCAGGAGAGTCACAAATGACCTTTCTTACAATCTCCCCTCACCCCCTCTCCAGTCCTTGGGGGGGGGTTCCTACTTGCCTTGCCCCCACAGCCGCTGGATATTCCGTTGCCAGGCTGCAGGGATTCAGACCCTGGGCGAGCGAGGGCTGCAGCTCCTCCGTATCGACCATGGACACCCGCCCTGCTAGGTGGGAGTGTGTAAGGGGGGGGTGTTGGTGGGGGGGGGAAGTGGCCAAGAGCCAGAATCAGCCCGGGTATCTGCTCTACACTGTTGCGTCAACTTCACAGGGGGGATCCATTTGAGGCCTTTGAGACTGGGGAAGAAAATGCTTTTCTTTATGTGGAAACCACAACAGAACTGGCAGATCTGGCTGGAGGCTGGCAATGAAGTTGCTGAGCGGTTGGGTGAGAACAAATAAAAGTAAGTCCTTCTTCACCCAAAGAGTGATGAACACGTGGAATTCACTGCCCCAGGAGGTGGTGGCGGCTACAAGCATGGACGGCTTCAAGGGGGAATTAGATAAGAGCAGAGGTCCATCAGTGGCTATGAGCCACAAGGTATAGAGAGGAACTCTCGGTCTGGGGCAAGGGATGCTCTGTATTCTTGGTGCCTGGGGGGGGGGCAACAGTGGGAGGGCTTCTGGTGTCCTGGCCCCACTGGTGGACCTCCTGAGGGCACCTGGTATTTTTGGCCACTGGGTGAGACAGAGTGTTGGACTGGAGGGGCCACTGGCCTGATCCAACATTGGCTTCTCTCTTGTGCCCTTATCCCCAGTGGCCACAGCATATGCTCCTCCAGGGCAGAAGGGAGCAGGACACCAGGCAGGCGGTGGTGGGAGGGACCAGAATGCAAGGGGCCTTCTTGGGCAATGGGGCAGCAGGGAGTGTGAGGGAGGGTTTCCGCAGGGCCCGCTTGCCAACAGACAAGCTGCCCAGACCGTGGAGCCCCTGTCCGACCAGGACTGGGCCTTGGCCATGCCATGCAGACCACCTCTGTTCTCCTAGACTGGCCAGAGCGTCTGGTGCCACCTAGGGGGCAAAGGAGGCACTGCAGCCCGGCGGGTGGGACACACGGCCTGAATCCTCCTCAGCCCCCATGGTCTCATCATCACAAAGCCACCTGCCATTCCCGAACCCCAAAGGACTAGGATATCCTGAAAGAGAGCTAGAAAGTCACCTTTTCTGTTCCTTGATATGATCTCCCAAATGCCTCTCCTAGAGCATGGATCAACCCCCGTGGTCGGCTCATCCAAAATCACGACCTTTGACCCTCCGAGGAGGGCGATGGATATCGACAGCTTCCTTTTCATCCCTCCCGATAGAGAGCCGGCGAGCTTGTGGCGGTGACTGTACAAGCCAGTCTCCTTCAGAGTCCTTCAAGGAAGCAGAGGGCCGGTTCGATTATGCACCACTAAGCAAAGGCAGGCCAAAAGGAGGGGGCGGCCATGGGGCCCACAGCAACGTCTAACAACAAAAGCCACGGGCCGTGGTCACACGGTCATTTTGATTGGGTTTCACCGCTGTTCCCTCTCGCATTTAAAATTGCTGATCAGACGCCCACATCCATCTCCCACACCGAAGTGGGCTCACTCGCACAATCATCCCGGTTCCCTAGCGAGTTTCCCGACACCAGGGAAATCAACTACTTTCCGGGTACTTGTGCTTTGAATCCACAATTTTGCCTATCTGGACAGCCATCTCTCGCAAAGATTGCGATTAGGTCATCTGAACGTCCTTCTTCCGGTAGGTTTTTTTTTTTTTTGTGACTTTTACCATTGTGCACATGCGCAAACAGTTTTTTAAAAAATGTGCCACGCCGCCACTTGGGCGCCGCAGCTGTCCGGAGAGTGCCTGGAGCACAGTCGCGCAAAGCAAGCGGTTTGGCAAGGGATGTGTGATCATTTGAACCCACTTAAAAATATTCCGGGTCAAATCTACAGCGGGAACAAAAGGTGGTACGCTTGCTGTGTGACCACGGCCACAGTGATCTCTTTCTCTAAGAGCAACCAGAACCAGACAGCCCAGAGTCAAGCTTCTGAGTTCTCTTAATCAGACTGGGTGTCTTTTTTGTGTTTAAGGAGTGTGGGGCGGGGTGGGTGTTTGGGAGATCTCTCGGGCCATGACCTCTTTGGTCACTGAGTGAAAGAGGACGCTGGACCAGGTGGGCCCACACTCTCTGCCTAACCTACCTCACAGGATTGTTGTGAGGATAAGACAGCTGGGGGAGTGATGCTCAGAAATACTTTCCCCATTGAAATCAAGGGATAAAATGACTGTTGGGTTGAGTCACTAATCCCAAACTATGCTATGCTGGGGATTATTAGGAAGGGTATTGAAAACAGATCAGCCAATATCATAATGCCCCTATATAAATCAATGGTGCGACCTCATTTGGAATACTGTGTGCAGTTCTGGTCACCACATCTCAGAAAGGATATTATAGCATTGGAAAAAGTGCAGAAAAAAGCAACTCGAATGATAAAAGGGTTGGAACACTTTCCTATGAGGAAAGGTTAAGGCGCTTAGGGCTCTTTAGCTTGGAGAAACGACGACTGAGGGGTGACATGATCGAGGTTTATAAGATTAAGCATGGGATAGAGCAGGTAGAGAAAGAGGTACTTTTCTCCCTTTCTCACAATTCAAGAACTCGTGGGCACTCCATGAAATTGCTGAGCGGTCGGGTTAGAACGGATAAAAGGAAGTACTTCTTCACCCAAAGAGTGAGTCACACGTGGAATTCACTGCCACAGGAAGTGGTGGCGGCTACAGGCATGAACGGCTTCAAAAGGGAATTAGATAAGCATATGGAGCAGAGGTCCATCAGTGGCTATTAGCCACAAGGTGTAGATAGGGGCTCTGGGGCAAGTGATGCTCTGTCATCTTGGTGCTTGGGGGGGGGTCAACAGTGGGAGGGCTTCTAATGTCCTGGCCCCACTGGTGGACCTCCTGATGGCACCTGGTATTTCTGGCCACTGTGTGACACAGAGTGTTGGACTGGATGGGCCTTTGGCTTGATCCAGCATTGGCGTCTCTTATGTTCTTATGTTATGTTCTTAACCTTAAGGAAACCAATTCAATAAAAGAACCGACTCTGAACTCCCCCTGCCGCCCGCCATCCCTCACGGCAGCTAGGCCACGCACAGCCATGGTGCGCACCTCTGAAGGTGGTCGCATTCAGGGATGGGCACAGGCACCTTTCCTCACAGAGAGAGGTGGCAGTCCCGTGTGGGCAAACTGTTCCACCCGACACGAGGCACCAGGACACGCGCACACGGGAGCGAAAGTGGGAGCAGGATGCCAAGTGCCCCACGGCAGGTGTGAGGGCGGTTTCCCCCGCCCGGCTCCAGCGACGCACCTTTCCACTTCCTCCTGCAGCTCCGGCCGGCTCCAGTGAGGCACCTTGATGTAGCCGTACAGGCGCAGGTGCTCCTCGGTGGTGAGGTAGCTGAAGAGCACGTTGTGCTGCATGCAGATCCCCATGTTCTTCCGGATGGCGTCCTGGTCGGTTCGGATGTCTTTCCCGTAGACAAAGATGGTGCCCGACGAGGCCGGGAACAAGCCTGTCAGGATGGATCTGGGAAGAGACCCAAAGAGGGCTGCCTGAGACAAAGCACCACCGTCACCGTCACCGTCCTTGACAGTCCGCCTTCCCCTCTAAGACCCGAGGCAGATTTGCTGCTCTTGTTCCCATCAAGCCAAAGCCAACTGACGGCGACCCCCGAGTGGGGTTTTCGAGGCCAGGGACTGTTCAGAGGTGGTTTGCCACTTCCACGGCCACTGCCTCCACCCCACAGCTCTGGTCCCCCGTCCAAATGCTAGCCGGGGCCGGCCCTGCTTCGCTTCCGAGATCGGCCTGGCCCGGGCTATCCAGGCCAAGACAGGTGATAAGTGTGCTTTTAGATT